AAAGTATTATTGTATCAGATGGTTCGCCAAAAGAGTTAGAAGATTTTCTTCAAATCATCGCAGTGCATTTCAAGGTTAAGTTTGCATTTCATTATAAATACTTTTTACCTAACACAATGCACACGATAAGAATACAAGCTCCAAAATTGATATAAACATTCGCTATATTATTTAGGTAAACTGCCATTCTAAGGATCTTAAAGGAAAACTGTGTCTATAATTTAACAGAGCAATTCTTGTAAGTCATTTTGGCTAAGGATGATGTATTATTGAATGTCTAGAAGGTGAGGACGCGTTAAAGTAAGGGTGCATATTTCGATACTATTACTGTTGTTGAACAAATAATAGACAAAATCCCCAAAGCATACTCTTTAAAGAGAGCAAAGTCGAGTTATTTTGAATGTAGCTTAATTAAGGAACCGTTACTTTCTCTGATGTGCTTACACAAAGTTTACGTTGCCACTGGGGTTTCTGCTAATAATTCCGTTCAAGTACCCAGTGAGTTTAGTTGAGGAAACACCCACAATGAGCAGCTAAAATCTGTGACAGTCGCTGGCATTAACACCTACCTAAGTATAAAGTTATATTTATTTTTTTCAACCGTAAATTTGAGTTCATGACATTATACAAAACCATCTTATAAATTATTAAAATATTTTCCTTAACGTAATAAAACATACAAATCTAATAAGAGGAATGAACAATGCTCGGTTTTCTCAGAATAGCCATGTTGATTTATATCAAAGGATCTCGTCAGGATTTCTTTTGCATTTGCAAATGTTTGCGTGAAAATAAAATTAACTCGATCAGGAACTTCCAATCTTTAATCGCGGTGAGGTCATTTTATATATGAAAGCGTTTACTCAGGCAAATCCCGCACTCCAACTGAGAAAAAGTTCAATATTGTTTTGTTCGGTAAAAATAAATGGTCGTCGAAAATAAAAAGTAATTTTGATAAGATGAAAAGGAGCTTCAAAGGAAGGCGGCATTTGTCATTTGATAAAACGCATTTCGTATATACATAAAAAAGCAAATACAAAAATGGCCTTTTTACACACACGGAACTCTCACCTACCCTTCGTGGATCACCTAATTCAGTCAAAGTGAAAATAAAATTTTGAGATTTGTCTAGCACTAGAACCACCAAACGGAAATTTGCCTGACAGTATTCAACACCAACTTTGTAAAGGCGGGATCATCTGCTGGATAGTAGGCCCAAAGTAATATATCTCCTTAGTCACTGTATATTAATGAACACGATTATCGCGGCCAGTTCAGCGTAAAAAGCATATAAGTTGTGTTTTTAAGCATTTAGTGGTTCGACATGCTTTTATTACACAGTATTCGGTGGAACTCTACAAAATAGACTACCTAGCATGCTCACTGTCTGTTTTAAAAACGGCCTCAAACGAAAACATTACTTTTTTGAGAAGATGTCTTGGTATTCAAAATTTTGTTTCTCAAAAGGTGCAATTCATCATAATCCATAACACTCCTTCATATGCATAGCTCAAAATTGTGGTCTCACATGAAAGCTTTTTTGCTTCATGAGATAAATTACCGTTTTGTCACTTGAATAATTTTTCATTAGACTGACTTGTTTCAATTTGTGTAGACTTTTGGCGACTGTCGTAGATTTTTGGAACAAATGCGTCAGGCTACATATGTTAGGGAAAAACATATGTTTCTTCATTTCACAATAGTTAGACTATTGTGAAATATATGATTTTACCACCATTCATTTCCATGCCTACTTAATAGCCTACATTGTTCATTTAAAATAGAATTATGCTGTCAGCTTATCAACTGAAACCAAAATTACCTCTGATGGTCATTTTGCTGGAATCTTAATTATGACAAAACCGATAAAATAGGACCTATGTAATCAGGCTAGCTTTCGCAAAAGCACAACAATTCGTAATAACTAGGTGCCGTCATGTTGTCAGTAGTGTTGTTCCAAACGCTAAGTAGTACAGTTTTCTTTGTGTTTCGTAAAAATGCTAATAAAATCACAGTAACGTGAAAATAAATAAAATGAAGTAACCAGCTGCCCATACGTTTGCGTGTGCAGGCATTGTTAGATAAATAGCGAGCAGTTACGTTTTTTGCCGTAAACGCATTCAGATCATTCATCAGTGATCCCTGATGCTCATCCAAAATGTTGAAATAAAACGAAACCTTGACGATGAAAATATAATATATGGATTTGGCAACAATTAGAAAACCTAGAGTCGTAATTTAAAATAAACCAGGATATTTTGTGCGCGTATTATTTTGTTTGCTTATTTCACACTTGAAAACATCCAACAGCCATTTATGCATTACGTATCAGAATGTAATTATAACGTTTCCCTTAGATTTCTTTGTAGTAGTTTGGGTAGAGTTCATTTTCAGGCTTAAAACGTGATTTTAAGGTTTATTTTCGGTCCTTAATTATCAGGCCTTGACCTTTTGTGTCTTCTTCTTCTTCTCGAACAACCACTGTACTTAAGTAAATGTTTTAAAAATTAAAAAAAACACGCTGTATTTTGGATGCGCTTATGAGGCACACCATTTATCATCGGTTAAAATACTGACGTGCTGCTACATCTAACCGCTACCTGCATACTTTTTGCCTGTAACATTGGTGCCTTTTGCACAAAACGCCATCGCGGCGGGTATTTTGACAGTTGTAAGTCATACACTGGATACCGCGAGGAGGCAAATGCCAAACATATCTTCCTGCCTGTTATTTCTACTAAGGACGCAGTAATAAGTTCGTACAATTGAAACGGATAATCATTTCTGCGATTCGTAGCTGCAGTAATTGCCAATAATACAGGGTGTCCCAAAATGATGTATACACATTCTAAATAATTGTTAACTTAGTGTTTATTAAAATGTTATTATTTCAAAAAGGTAAAAAAATTTTACAAGTATCATTTTACTGTTTTTCAATGCATGTCCTCAATCTGACGTTCATTTTTATTCCAGACACAGTCCAATTAATCCGCACTTTAATCCCCGATAAATTAGCGTATCGGTCGGTAACGACGTGTAGATTCTCAGGTCCCCAATAGGGGACTATTTAATTTGAATGTGGCCTTTTCACTTTACACAATTTTTGTTGAAAAATCTGCATATTCTTCACATTTTTTCTCAGGAGCACTCACAACACTACACTCTTCGGTCCAGCCCATTGTCATTAAGAGCATTCACTTATCTTGAGATATAACTTTTCCAATGACAATGTTGCATAATGCGATGGACACATGATTTTGAAATTCCAACTTCACGACAAGTCTATCGTATAGACTTTCTCGGACTTCGTTGAAACTTTTCAAGCACAGGGCTTCTTCATAAACATGGTCTTCCGGGACTTTTTGTGAACGTTCTGAACAGTTCCATCAGCTTTAACCCTTTTTTTCTTATTCGACTGATGGTAATTTGCGCTGGCAATTCTTTTTAAAATTCGCTCCTAACCTGTCTTTTCATCTCAACTACATTTCCACACTTCCAGTAGCATTTTAGAGTAAATTTTATTTTTTAGAATTCTAGTCTGCCTGTCATTATTATGTTCAGGGATTGAACCTGCACAATGAATACAAGTAGTTTAATTATTGGCGATCTACAATTATTTAAAATACAGTCAAAATGCATTAAAAAAACAATAAAGTGATGCTTGTACATCTTTTAACATTTTTGAAATAATAAAATTATGATAGACATCGAGATTACAATTACTTAAAATGTGTATAATGTTTTGGGGACACCCTTTAGTAAAACTGATTTAGTAACGTGAAGAGAAGCAGGTCGTTGACTTTCAGGGTAACCTAAGCCGAAATACGTCTAAAAATGAAAATAGCTCTCTTCGTGTCAAGCCAAGTACGCAGCTTATACTCCGTTTGGGAGGTTGTAATTATTGACACTTGCATCAGCCAAACGAACCAGCTGACACGCCAATTTAAACTTAATGATTATTATTCCTCAAAAGCAACTAATTCTTCCGAATTGCGCTTAAAGGTACTTGGAATTTCAATGAGCAGAAGGTTTTTGATCGATAGATTTATGCAAATTACATGATCTTTAATGTAAAAATAACACAAATACTTCTTTTTGAATATAGGTAGTTTGGACTGTTTTGTCTAGTAATTGAAAATAATACCTTGTTGAGGTTATGGCGGGTCTCCGACATACACGCTTTATTTGTCTCTTCCAATGGGATAAATGCAGTAAGGCACTATTTATGTTTGATAAAGTTCATTCTACTATTCGCAGTTGAAATGCTAACTTTTAACTTTCCCGATACTTTTGACAGAAACGAGTTGAAATAGTTGAGACTGCTTATTAAATTAAGAATAAATTTAACTTAAGTGTTCGACTATTTACCGTAAGTAAAAAAATGTTAAGTTAGTTTCGCATGAAATTTGGCGAAAGGTTAAAGAAAAAACTAAGGGATAAAGCCACCATGAAGGTCAGTCATAAGCGCGGGCTTCGCAACTGTCTGCAATTGGACAGATATTATTTTTTATCCTTAGGCGTTAGCACGTGGAAAAATATGTGCCCCAGTCATTTTCTGTAGCTTTAGGGACAAATTGGTCAGAGAGCTTGCCTCAGTGACTAGCCGTGATTCGGGGTTCGTGGCTAAACAAAACCGCATGATCATTTTTTTAAAAAAAGGGAAAACTTATTCATTGCATTTCTCAGCCACCGCATGTAACAATGCGTCCTTATCCAAAAAGCTGGCGGACGCTGTTGGGTGAAGTTATCCTTTCATTGGCAGAGGCCTCTGGCCAATCCACAGTCAGGCTGCTGTGCGATCAAAAAGGGGAAGCTGATCGTAGTTTTATGCAGAACAACTACGCGGCAGGCAGTGCACCCTGAGGGGTTAAAATCGACTCCATGTACTGACTTACCCTCCATAAATGTCCTCCTCTTTGCTTGGAGACCTCACTACTGATAAAGTACCTTAGACGCCGCCACTACCGTTTCAGGCCTCGGTGTCAGCTAGTCCTGTCATCATGGATGCAGGCATCATCGACGGAATTGCAGGCATTGGCTCCTCCGTGGGCTCCGAAAAGAAATGCCCCGACGACGATTTTGTCGACCGCGCAAACCACACCTACACCATGAATCTCCTCATGTTTTTCATTGCCATCGTGCTGTCGCGCCAGTTGGTAGGAAAGCCCATCAGCTGCTGGATTCCCAATGACTTTACGGGTGCCCAGGGCGAGTACGCTGAGACAGTGTGTTGGGTCACTTCAACCTACTTTATCGCACCCGCACAAGCCACTGTGCCGATACAGAAGGACCTGCGCTACGAGAAGACGATTTATTACTATCAGTGGGTGCCTTTTATTTTGATGCTTCAGGCAGCCCTCTTCGCCTTTCCCTGCATTATCTGGCGCCTTTTCAACTCCCATACACGAATTAATGTAAGTTTCTATGCGAATTTTGTTTTAAACAGAAAGTTATCCCTTAGGATTTTAATGGCCACAAACCATAACGTAGAAGTTATAGACGTGAATAATTAAAACAGAGGCACCATCAAAAGGTTATTTTGCTCAAACATAATTTCACTTGCGTAATATTTGTGGTGGTGAAGTGAAGAGTTTAACCATGCCTATGAGTTTCCCTTACACTGTTGCATACATAGCTTTTCTAATTCAGTTGACCCAATTAAGAAAAATAAGCGGCCTCGTAGGAAGACGAACCCACACAGCAGGGAAGGCTTTTTCGCAGCCAGCGCTCTACTACTGAGTTACGAGACTCACTATGAGTAATGAATTTAATCGCAGTTGGATCGATTTTACTTACTACCATTATGGAATCCACCATTACGGAACAGCAAGGTGACTACCTAGGGAGGATTTCCTAAGCACTCATCCAGAATTCATCAAAATGACTACTAGGCTCATTTAACTGTTAGGAGGGTTTGTCAGATTGGCTTACTTCAGTGAGCCTGCTAGTCGCTCTGGTGGAAATCCTCCTTGGGCAGCCAGCTTGCGTTTCCGTACGGTGGACTCAATGCTAGCACTAAGTTCGGTAGGTAAAGTCGGTCTAAGTAGAATTACATTCACGGCTAATAGTGCCCCTCGTAGCTCAATGGTAGGGCGTTGGCTGCGCAAAAGCCTTCCCTGCTGTGTGGGTTCAACTCCCTTTGAGGTCGTGAATTTTCACAATTGGGTCAACTGAATTAAGCAAATTTGCAAAACTCCCCTAACGACCTTCCTAGTATTTTACCAGTCCCTCATTATCGGTGAACAATAGAGAGGGAGATGCCAGTCTCTTAATACTAATATTTGCAATCTTCCTCACACAGACTCAACAGCAAAATATAAAAAATAGCTAAACTCAACACTGAGATGGTTTGATTACGCATCTTATATACTTAAGTATATTATCCCTGAATTTTTCCACCAACGCTGCTTCCTCGAGACCTACCCACTGAGGGGTGGGTACAGGTTAGATTATATACGAGTGAATAAGTTAATAGAAAACATAGTTTCCTAGGTGAAAACGACAGCAAGACTAATTGGATCCGTAAAAGTTCGCGTAAGCTCAGCAGTTGCGTCCATTCCATTGCATGATGAGAGTAACAAATGAGAAAATACAAAATTGGATTGGTAAATAAAGGTCAAAAAGGTCGTAGGGCAGGTTAGGAAGGCTAATTAGTGAACTTAGCGAGCTAAAATGAGGTAGGAAGAAAAACTTATGAAAAGCATTTAGAGCGAAAAGGCGGGTAAGAGAATGTGTAAACCTAGGAGCCAGATTTCACCAAGGAAAAGTTAGGTTAACCACATGCTCCAACTGCTTAAATGGGTCAGGTTCTGACCGCCTTATTTAGGCTGTCTCCAGTTAGCGCAAGTTATGAGTTGTTTGTGCTCGAACAAGTACTCGGAAGGAAGTTTTAGGTTTGACAGAACGACCCGTATCTAGCAAATATTCTTTAATGGAGGAACGTGGCGTTGTACGTTCCTGTTTGAAAAGCCAAATAAGCAAGTGCTCCTAAGCTCTGGCTGACAACTGCCTTTGCGTCTGCCCTATGTACTTGCATCCACAAGTGCACGTAAATTCACCTTCGTTACTCTCATCATGCACTGGAATGGACGCAACTCATGAGCTTTCCCAGAATGTTATGGACCCAATGAATCTTGCTGTGCCTGCAATAAGTTAATAGTCATATTACACTTGCGTTGGATCTGCCACACACTCTCTCTCTCTCTCGACAATTCCCATTCTCTTTGTGTCGGGTGTCATGGCAAAGTCAAGCAAACCGAAGACGAGAGAGAGAGCGCGCACGTAGGTGTACTATGCGAATCGAGTCTGCGCACAGGCTAACAACCACTCCCCACCCTCTGTGCATGCCCAACATGCCTAATCCATTCACAAGCTTTGTATAAACTTAAATTGCACCGAAGGCTTTTTAAAGCATGCAGAAAAGTGCAGCCAAACAGATAACAGGGATTATTTAAACAAATTATTGCTCCTATAAATTCTTGTGCTCAGAAGAAAATAAGGAAATAACAAAAACAGGCAAACACAGAGTGTGAGTACGAATTTTATTAAAATGTGCTAAATTCAAGAAAATTCCCAATTATATTTGTTAATTTTTTCCAATCGTCTGCTTAAAATCTGTTCCTTAAATGTAGCTTTTAACATCTTGATTACAAGAAAAAACTTCAGAAACCGAGCTGTAACATTTCCCTTCCGTGAGCACTGGCAAACGGAGCAAACACGAGGACTGGGAAAACTGGTTGTGGAATCAAGTAGGCCATTGCACTTGACTGTGGGTTTTTTCAATCGTTTTTTTACACTCCCAAATATTTGGGATCTATAAAAAAAAATAAGTACACTTTATTATGCGCTACGTTTAAGCAATTTCAAATTTATTCAAAATTTGCTATGTGATTATTATTCAGTTTCGTGCTACCATTTTATCAAGATTTTTGTAATAGAGGGTCGTGAGCAGTATAAAGCTATCCGGCTGACATTCTGCTTGTCTTCCTTGACATTCTGTTTGCCCTTACTTCATTTCAAACTTCGTAGCTTTTATCTTTCCTGAGACATTCACCAGCCTCTTCCTGATCTTACAACTTTTAAGTCTATATTTAGCACTTAACCACCTACGGTTTTAATTTGCAAACCCCTATACAATCGTTTACCTTGTTTAAACAACGAAGCTGAGATAGGTTCTAGTTCTCTTAATTGTTAATGAAACCTGCTTTTTGCTTCTGTTTTGAAACGGCGTCATATATTAGTAACCGCATGAAACAATGAGCATCTTGTTGAGCAAGAAATTCCTTTTCGACTTAAAAATGAAGCATATTATATTCTTCATAAGCGTGGTCATTTGTGCTTATAATGTATTTGGGAATATTCAGTATGCTGTTTTGAACAAATCAACTTTTAAATCTCAGTACGCGAAAGCATTTTAAGTGCAAACCGGGAAAATTGATATTAATTTTTTTGACGGCACTAGCAGGATCAGGCAAACAGTCGCTTCTGCTCATATTTCGTTTAGAAAAGTTAATAATCTTAATTGCTTTACCGAATTCCACAATTTTATTACTTCGTGTTTTACAGTGTTTCTAGCATTACTGTTAGCGAGCTAAACTAGTTTTTGTCTTGTATGACGTAGAGCATCAATTGTCTGATCATTTGGACAGCTTGAATTGTTTACTTTAAAAGCCACTGGTTTAAGATTATTTGGCTAAGGTATATAGGCACTAGAAAATATCATCAAAACAATTCTCCAGCTTACTAGATGATATACTATCTTGCAAACTTTACTTCCTTGTAGCTTACAACATAAAACAGTATATGTTTCAAGAAATGGTGCGAAGTTTCGCATTCCATATGTATGTGAATGTAATGAAGAGGAAGCCGGGTTAATCGCTGGAACCATTTGTTTATCCGCCCTGGTCTTCAAAATTGTACTAGGGTCTAACGTCAGGGATGAAAGCGGAAACAGTACGCGTAATAGTGATGGATGGTAGCAGCCAGTCAAAGAGCAGTAACGCCAGTTCGGTGAGATTACGTAGGGGTCTGCATGCCGGAGCCAAATCAATATTTCGATTTACCGTGTGCTCGTCCTAAGCCCAGGTCAGGAGCAAGACACGCCGCGAATTAATTATGCCCTGGTCGTCCATTTGCGAACTCAGTCAAAGAATATACCGATCTGGCCACGGCAGTCAGTTCCTACTGATTGTCAATTACCTCTGCTGCATGGTGTGTTGCCGCTTTGATCTCTGACGACGGCCTTTAAACAGTTTTGCAAGTCCGAATGAAAAAATAAATGGTTTCGATGGTCCAACAGGCAGCTTCATCCATACGTTAAAATAATTCTGTCATCACACATTCGTCCTAGGTGAGCACCTTCAGTCTAAAAAGGGAATAAATTTGTGCGTTTTCCGGGAGAGCCAAGAACTTATTTGCATTTGACTGCACTGCGTATTCTAGACGATGTGCAGCGAACAGATTTCAACACTTACCGAAGGGTCATTCGTCGCTTATCTTTTAAATGAAGCCCTTAAAAGATTTCCGTAGATCCCCAACAGAACATTTTACAGATAAGCAAGCAAAAAACGTTCCAATTTTCGCAATTGGTTGAGAAAGCCTCAGTAGACACATGAGTTTTACGTGAGAAAATTTTAGTTTCATGAGTGCCTTATCGAAACTCTCCCAAGATTTTATTCAGTTACAAACGTGAAATGTTTGCAGTTGTAAGTGCGTTTTTTGTTTTTTTTACTATGCGTCTTGGCAAAAGAAGACATGCAGTAGAATAACCATTTCCTTTAACGCAAACACATCGCTCTCCTACAAATACATTAACTATTAAGCCAGCTGTCCTGGATAATCAGACGACCTTCTGGGTGCTTCTTTATTATTGTTATTGTCTAGCTGACAGGAGACTAGCGTATCGAGTATTAAGTGACCGCGTTAACATTTGTTATTGAGACATTTTAAGCGCATACCCGTGTGCGAATACGTAAGACCAACATACAATAGCTGCCTGTTAGAAAAAACATTCCAAGTCCATCATTTAGTGACTTACGCCTATGCTCAGCTGACCGTAGCAGACGTTACTGCAGAAGTTCAATTGTACTTGACTCCATTTGGTTTTTCGTAGGAAGTCATATTGTCATTTTTGTGTGAAAAGATTCCAAATGCTGTTTCAGTTGATCCCAAGCTATTTTATTTCTTGGCATCTAACCATGCATTGTCCCAAGTGTAAATTCATGGTTGAAGAAGAATACATCTTAGCTAATTAGAAGTGTACGCGAGGTCAAAAGCACTGTGGTATGACCCTAATTGCGAGATCGGAAAGTCTTATCCATACGTTGAACTGGGGATTAGGCTTCGGTAGATAAGAAGTATCATGTATTAGTAACTATTGTTCGATAAGAACGGGAAAGTATACCTTTTTAAACAAAGAAAGCGTAAAATCTTCTATTGAAGAACTCCAAATTATAAGCGCTA